CCTCAAAAAAATAGTCGCGAGGCCCACAGAAACTAGAAACAGATGTGGACTGAGTACAAGATTGAAGATCCATTGAAAAACAACCACAATTTCATGTAAGATTAGGAACAAAACCGCACTTAAGAATTTCCAGGAGATTTCTAGAGTTTAAAGACAAGCTACGAATTTATAGGAATTTTTTTAGGAGTTTAACAGACATGCAAATTACCATAGGGATATACCATCAGATGCCCTAAGTAGGACTTTCGACCAATACTATGAAATTCTCAGTTGATTTATCCGACAAGAACTTTCAGATTTATATCCGGACTAGAACAATCATGGGATATTTCAGAATTATATTTCAGACCGTGAAAGGAGAAAATCCTATCTATAAAAATCACTGACGATTGGCAGTGGTACCTAAGACTCTCGATTAGGATTCAAAACTAGATTAACTAATCATGGGAACGTAATCGGTGTTATCGTCAACACAGTCAGTGGTACATAAGACTCTCGATCAAGATTCAAAACTAAATTAGCTAATCATGAGAACGTAATCAGTATTATCATCAAGACAACCACAATCCTAAGTATGACCCTCCGGACTAATCCAGCACAACAATTAGAGCAACCTCAGATAATCCCTCTCCCTTCTTCTTCAACACCCCCCATCTTACCACAGCCCCCTCGAACCCTACCCCCGCATCTTCGGGGGAGGAAAACCACCTCCCATTGCTAGCAGCTCTGAGCAACACTAGCACCGAAAACCTCGACGACCATCTTCCATTTCCCAAAAGAACCGAAAAGATGGTGTGGCACCACCTCACCAAGCCCGTTAGCGGGGCGCCACAGGGGATTCAAGCATCCATCCATATCCACTTACCGCCCTGTTGAAGAAAAAGGAGAGAAGACCTCAACACCAACACCAATCCGCTGCCCCTTTCGTTCGTGATCTCCCACTCATGTTATTCTTACTCCTGGCGATGTCACAAGTCTCATGCTATAGCAAGATGCAGAAAAACGAGGTTTCAACCGGCACTCTCATCACACCCACAGATCAGCCACCACATGCTATCGCTCCAGATAAAGGAAAAGAACCAACCCCCAACTCACACATGACGAACCCCACCACCACCACTATGCACATCCCATCAACCCCGATCACTTTCCATCAGCCGTTGCCACGTGCCAGCATGACGAACACCACGTGTCCTTATACCCTGCCACCGTGCACATCCCATCAACCCCAATCACTTTCCATCCGCCGCTGCCACGCGCCAACCTCACCTAGCGAGCTCCCAGTGCGCCGCCATCAACCTCTGTTCTCCCTGCGTTACCGTGCGCCTGATTGTTGGCAGGCTTCTTGATCTTCTCTTTCACGGGAACTCCTTTTAGGAGCTATTTTATCACGAAGACAAGCGTGGTCGGGTTAGAGCTCGGGCGTTGCATCGGGGAGGTTGCGGGTTCGATTTCCTCAACCCTGAACCTCCCTTGCGCACAATCAGTTTAGGTTGGCACCCCATGTACTTGTCCCCCAGCCGAGTACAGCACATAGACAGATTAGCTGATGTTGTAGCTCAGTGGGTTGAGCTAGGTTGCTGCAAGGGGAAGGGGATTGGCCCTTTGCATCACATAGTACAGATATAGATGGTGCACAGGCAGGGATGGGCCAAGTAGGCCTAGCGCTCGGAGTACCCGTATGGCAGGGGCTCGTTCGAGCATGCTTCGACCAGGGCTGAGTTGTGAGGTCAACCTGCCAAGATGGTAGAAGGGTGATGGTCCTTAGTGGTAGATACTGAGGTAGGACTGGGGGGAAAGTGGGGGTGCACCAGGAGATACGACAAGAGGAAGGGTGGGTGAGGGTGCCGTAAGGGTTAGAATCCTAAGGAAGGGGGGGGGGGAACAAAAGAGGAGTGATTCTATAACAGTCTGTACCCTTACCGGCCCAGCGTGAATTAGAGGGTGCCGTGGCTGAGGATTTTGGCCAGGGGTTGAAGTCCCAGGACAGAACTGAAACTTCCCTTGTTCACTCGAGTGTGAATTCGTCAAGGAGAGAATGGAAGAGTTTATGCCTCATGAAAACTTAGAGGGGCAAGGGCACAAAAAGGAACCCTCTGGGCCATGGCGTTTCAGCAGCGCAAATGTGCACCTTCACTGTCGAAATTACTGATGGAGGGAAAAAGGCAACCAAGGGCAGCGGGACAAAATTAAAAAACAAGAAGCAGGGGAAGACAGTCTCAAACCACGAGTACTTCCGGAAGCCGCGGCATGCATGCTGCCACGACTTTCGGAAGTACCAGTGGCTTAAGCCAGCAGTACTTCCTAAAGTCGTGCCCTTTAACGCACTACGATTTTCGGAAACGTACGGGCCACTACAGTAGCGCCCAAATTCATCCAACTAGAAACGTTTCTACTCTATTTTTTTCGGCGGCCGATAGCTGGGCCAAGTACTGGCGGTTTAAGCGAGCGGTGTCACTCCGAAGATCAGCGGGAATCATCAACAGGCACGCAGAAGCTTTCAGGGAATTCACGCGCAGTGCAGCTGTTTTCTGGAAAGTGTACCGCGCCCTGATATCCTACCATTCATCGATATGAGCAGGATCGTTCTCGCTTGCAGTAGAAGCAGTCAAATTGAGGGTTCCATGTGGTGTGTGCAGCAGACCAAGGAAGCATGTTCGATCGGAGTAGGGGAAGACGATATGAGGCAAATAGCCGAAAATAATCAATCAATACAAATTTTCTGTCCCCAAAATGACTAGCATTGGGAGGGTTGTACAAGTGGAATCACCTGGTATGCCGTAGTGTGATCCTCACGTCCACAATGCAGTAGACACTGTCTTTGTCTGCGGCAGGGAACTCGGGAAGGCTGCATTATTTTTATTTTTATTTTTTTATTTTTTTTACCACTAGCACCCGGGAGAGGCTCCATCTATTGGTGGGGAGCATCACCTGCTGGAAAACGGGTCCAGCGTCCCATATACAAAGTGAATCTAGAAGATCTGGAAAAAAAACAGGAAGGGAGGTAAAGGGCAGCATGCCAGCATTAATTACTCTGGAAACCAGAGGATTGACTGTGCAGGCTGCTATGGAATGTTGAGGTAAAACCTGAACACAAGCAGGCTCGTTCATGGAGAATGAGGTCTGCGAGTGAAAACTCCATAGAATGGACATGAGCTGACACAACAACCAAGTAGACTGACACTATCTCATGCACACCTACACACCTAATATCCCCGCGCACCAAGACTGTATCTCAAAATACCGCTCAAGTACCTCACCACATGTTTACGCGCCAACAAATGGTTAGTAACTTAGTATCTCAAAATACCACTCAAGTACCTCACCACATGTTTACGCGCCAACAAATGGTGCACAACAAAGATTCCGACAAGGAGTATCCCAATGCATGCTCATGCAACAGCACCATACATCACACTTCGATCACCACAAACTTTTGACACATTCATTCATACAGAGAAACCTCGATATGACATTACACGGAACGGACTCACAACCATACAACTGTAGACTCACATTGCAGTGGACGAAGCAGGTAGAGGATGCAAGACAGTCAAACGCATTGACAATAGCTTAAAGGACAACACTCCGTAAGCGGCACAAACCCATCGCACGTCAAAACGGTCGCTTTGAAATTGCTTGGGCCTGTGTGAAACCCGCCACCCCAAAAACCTGCAGTGTCTTGTGTCCGGACCTCTAGGCCCTGTCCGGTGGGGTGAAACGACACTGAAAAATCACCCCTTTTTTAAGGGGAGGTGGTCAGGGCCCGAAAAACGTCCTGGGCTGCCCCTTTTGTTTTTCCAGTTTTTGCCCTGGGGGCCTCCGTCCAGACATCATGGACCGGACACCGGACCCGGACATGTTGTTCCAGACTGTCTGGAGCCCGGCTCGGAAGTCCGGTCGGTTACCACGGGATTTTTCAAGTTTTAACTTTTTACTACTTTTTAGAGGGGGGTGCCTTAGTTTGATTCTTTTGTTTCAATTCCACGAGGAATTTCAATGTGACCCTCAGCCAAAAACCGTTTGCATAAATTGCATTGCAATACTACGCAGCAAATTTTTTTTTCTGGATTTTTTTTCTTTTTTCTTTTTTTTTTTGGGGGGGGGGGGGAGCTGGGACTGCCCAGGGTTCATTCCCGGCTGCGCCCCTGGGCATCAAGGTCAAGTACAGAAGCAGAGTGCATAGCACCGTGATTCCTGACTCACTGGGGATCTACCCCGCAACTGACCATGGAAGGCCAAGAATGATTGTCACCTGCACGTGTTCTTGGATCGGAGAGTTCGACCATGCCATCAGTTCGTACAGGAGACACACAGAAAGGGAAGGATAGTGAGAGAAGAAGATGGAGAGGAAGAGAGAGGGGGGAGAGAGAGAGAGAGAGAGAGAGAGAGAGAGAGAGAGAGAGAGAGAGAGAGAGAGAGAGAGAGAGAGAGAGAGAGAGAGAGAAGAAAAGGGAAAGAGTCACACGAGATAGAGAGCAAAAAGAGACCTTTCATGTAAAAAGGCATGAAAGAGAAAGAACTACTGGCGATCGTCTCAACGGGTTTCGACCTCACCGCAGGCGTGAGGCCATCATCTGGGGACTGCTTGCGCTTACTCGTGTGTAACCTGGGACCTACAATAAATACTATTTTTAAGAGCTTTGTTCCTACGGTAGTACCCTCTCAGCACAGCTTTGTTCCTAAGACCCGTAGTTCTGCCTGCTTCATTGAGCGCGAAAACACCCCGATGTCAGGTGGCGGGAGGAAGAGGGAGAGAGCAAATCAAGACAAAGGAAATCACAGGAGAAGCTTCTGGGTCTGTGGTAGGTCATTCGTGGCGCATCAGACAAAATCGGGAGAAGCCTCCAGTAGTCCCTTCACGTGTGCTTTCAGCGTCGAGTTGCCTGCGCCGTGTGTTTTTCTTACATTCTTGTGTAACACGTTTCTCATTACATGTCGGGTTAGCCGCTGCATATCAGGGATAGGCTATCTAGCATACGCCAAGGTCAGGGAATCGGGGAAGCGACAAAATTCAGAGATAGGCGATCTAGCATACGCCAAGGTCTGAAGGAGAGTCCAAGTCCAACAGCGATATCCATGCTGCATCACTGAAAAGGCCCACGCGGAATGGGTAGGTGGGGGATCGAAAAGAGTTGGATTCACAGAAAAGACAGAAAAAAAACAGAGACCGAGGACCGGAAGACGGGGTGCACGTAGAGACTAGGTGGCAGGGAAGGGGTAGTAAGGAAAAAGTGGCGAATCGTCGGGGGCAGGGGGGGGGAGGAGGGGAGGGGGGGGAGGAGGGGAGGGGGGGAAGAGGGGCAGAACATAGTTGCCTTCTACCAGGGGAAGGGGCGCAGGTAGGAGCGAGAAGGGGTTAGTATGAAAGAAGGAAGCGGGCATCGGGGGAATAGAAAAAATGCTATCGTTTAGTGCGGCAGGAAAAAAGTCCCTTCTTCGTAACATCCAAACCCAGTTCTAGGATATCGACCCACTCATCAAGTACCCCTTTGTGCATGTCAGAGGCCTCGCAGATTGTTTTGAAAAACCTGGGCATGTATCCGGGCACAAGCTGGGTGCCTGGGCGCCTGGAAAAACGGCCCAGCTCAAAAGGCTTTTATTTTGTGAAAGGCTCCTTTGGGCTGAGCTCTTGGGACTCGAAATGAGTGTGTTGGAGTTCTAAAGCCAGTGGATCTCCTGATGCCACGAAACCTTCTTCAAAAAAAAAAAAAAAAAAAAAAAAAAAACCTTAAAAAAGTAATTAAAAAACAACGAAATTCATTACAAGCTGGGAATGGGGCCCATCATCCCTCACATCATGGGCTGCAGCTGCTGGGATGAGCCAGGCACTCCGGCCAGGCTTAACCCTCCATACATGCTGTTTGTTTTGTGCGCCCTTTGCTTCTTTTTGCACAGTCAGACTGTCCTCAAGTTCGACAGTCGGGCCTTTGTTTTTTTTTTGGATGTTATTTGTAGAATCTTGTCTTGAGAATGGTCACATGTACTGATTTGTGACGTCTTCCGTGTTTGTGCAGGTTGGTTCTTTCGTTCTTTTTGTACCTTTTTTTTTTCTCTTTTCTTTTCTTTCTTCCCCCCTTTCCTTGTGTCATCCTTGTGCAGGGGTCATGCTAATCTTCTCTCGTTCGTTCCGATTTTAACGGATGTCGGGAAGCAGGTTGGTTCATCTTTCCTGACCATCCCCTTTTTGAAAAAAACTAGGTTCAGCTGTGCCTTTCAGGCAGACAGGCGTGTGTGCACCTGGGGCCAGCAGTGCACGCTTCATAATGTGTGGATTTTTTTGGTCCGGATCTGGTGTTGATATTATGTGTGATGTCACAAAATAGGCACGACGCAAGCACACCACGCAAACCAACCACAGACGCCATATGCTTCCCAGGCCTCTCTCTAGGACCTTTTTTTTTTCTTTTTTTTTTTTTGGACCTTTCTCGATCTGTGTGTGTCCTCCTTTCGCAGGGGCCATTTGCTAATTTGCCGTTCTGAGCGTTCTCTGTATTATTCCAGTTTTAACGGATGTCCCGAAGGACAGGCTTCTGTCGGTCCTGATTCCACCCTTCTTGAGCCCTTTTCTGGATGTCTATCATGTGTGGTATTGCTGGAGTAAATAATCGTTATTCATAAATGTAATGACTGGAGCCATTAGAAAGACTAGCTAAGTGCCCGCGGTGTGGGCGGTGTGGGCGGTGTGGGCGGTGCGGGCTACGCCCGCAGAAATAACAAATGCAGTGGGTGACCCC